TAAGGGAGTGCTGTGGCTTTTTAAAAAAAACGTGGCTGAATTTGCTAGTTAACTAATGTGGTTCTTTTGCACTCGCTGCACTGTACTTATCCTGACCAATCAACATGAGCCAGGCTGTCAATCAGGCTCTCAGCTAATTATTAAATATAATATATTCTCAGCATTATGGTAACGTTAATTGTGGAGAAACAGCGTATTCACTTCCGGTTTTCAAAATAAAGGTATTAAGAACAGTTAGCTATAATTCAAACCTACATTTAAAATAAAATATTTAAATTTGAAACCCAGGAATTGGGTCAAAATATTAGCCCTATAACCCACAAAATGGTTACTCTCTGAAAGGAATAACCCATAATTTTAACCCAACACAAATAACCCAGAAATTGGGTTGAAGAAATAACCAAGGAGTTTTTAGTGTGTAGTATCATAGCAAAATAAATATAAATATACACAGTAAAAATATTACATCTGCACAAAATGTAGTAATTACTTTATATAATAATTGCATGCAGTCTAACTGAACTGTTTCATATATGTGTTATCAATCTCTGTAGTGTCATACAAAACAGTGTGTTTCTCTACTTCCAAGATTAACTTTTCGTCATCCATGGTCTTATTTCTTCTATTTCTTCTCTGACCTGCCTTCTACTGACTGACGTCTGGCCTGCTGCCACAGGTTGTGATGTAAAGTGTGAAATTTGATCTGGAGTCAGTATGCAGTAGGGTGGATTGCCCTAATGTGGGCCATTTTTTGCTTTTTGGACTTCTGTAGAATATTACGACGTGAAGGAACACATTAAATCCACATCCAATACCATTTTGAAACCCTCAGGGGTTGTCCTAATCAAATCAAAAGAGAAAATGCAGATAACACATTCATAAAAGAAACGATACAGATATCAGTGCTCCTAGTGCCAAACTGTCTGAGAAAATGTGCAGCTTCCTAATGTGGGACAGTCATTTGCCTAATGTGTCACACATTCTATTTTAAGGCCTAAACCATGGTGCACCTAATTTTATGTTCAATCATTTTACCATTTGCAATGTTGTTCCTGTTACAAAACCAAGATTTATGATGAACGTTGGAAAATTGAGCATCATCAAGCAAATAAAACAATATGATGGTTTTGATGCATTTATTATGAACTTATGAAGTATATTTAAAGGTAAATATATAAAATGTTGCATAGGCCTATTACAATATAACAAACAACAGCAGATAGCAAATGGCCCACAGAAGTTAATAAGTGGCTACATTTCTGGAAACAGGCAAGCATTGCATGTAAAAGCAATGTCGTCGTCAATTACCCCATTGTCCTCCGCACAGCTTTCATGAAACCAATGGGAACAGACTGCACAAGAAACCCACTCCTCTGTCGACTTGGGGTCATTTGAGTCGCCATAAGAATGCTGGCAGATAGCACAAGGATCCTGGTTGACTTGACGGACTTGATTGGTTGTGGATTGGTTGAGCGTTTTCTTTGCTGTAGGCTTTTGCTTCTTGGTCATCACTGGTCAGATCATATGAAGGAGGCTTTGCCCTCTGGCGGCTGGTAGTTGGGCATTCTCTGACCGGAAGGGTGATCAGTGATTTGAAAGAGACCTCTGGCTGTGTCACCACTTCAACTTCTGGTGCCAGAGGTGGTGGGGTAACAATGGCTAATATTTAGTACCTATACAGGTGTTTCATTCAAGTAGCACTGTGAAAAGATTCAACTTTAAACTTTGGTATTTTTTAACCTAGACGTTATTTTACCATGTTTTTGTGTCAAAGTGACTAATGGGGACAACACGCTTTTAATTTCCTTCAGTATCCATGAATTTAAAGAAACACTTATCATGTCTTCTGCTGTGTGATGCTGCATGTATTTAATAAAGTCAAAGGAAAGAAGCTTACATACCAGAAATCTTCTATAATTCCAGGAAATCCTTCCCAGAAATCCTCTAATACTTGACCCCCAAAAGAAAAAACATTACATGTCATTTAGAGTGATATGTGTGTGTTTCTGAAACCGTTTCATCATATTAATGAGTAGCATCTGAAAAGTAACATTAACATCAAATCAAATGATCTTTTTGTTTACACTCAGTCACCAATAGAAACCCACCAAAACATGAAACAATCAAGGTTATCTAAGTTTTCTAGGAATCAATCCCTTTATTGGGCTACAAACCCCAAAAATATGGCATTATAACAGTAAAAGGGACAGCAACATAGATGTGCTGTATTGAGTCATGTCTCTTCTACCTTGTCATTTAGAGGGATATGTGTGTGTATTAGTAAGTATCAGCTGAAAAGTCACATTGAGATAAAAATCAAATGATGTTGTTTGTTTACTCTGTGTCAGTTATAGAAACCCAACAAAACATGAAACAAAATCTCGCTGTTGTTGTTGTTTTATGTGTTCAAGTTGAAACTTTTTTTGACTGTGGTAGAAAGTGAGGGAAATGCCATCATAACAAGAGGCCAATCAGATTGCTCTGAAATTGTTCCCTCCCACTTCATATGCTTACATTAATACAAATCATCCTCTTAATATGATCTAATATACCTGCTCTCTCAAGTGGAATTACCAGAAGATGCTGATCATATTCTTTTTACTGCTGATGCTCAGAGTGGGGCGTAAGTTTATGTAGAAATGTCAGATATTTAAATTATATAATATATATAGAATATTTTAGTAATTCATAAATGATTCATCTGATGTTAAACACTGAACTGTGTTTTTCTTTTTCAGGATGCACAGACAGTCTGATCTTTGAGACGAAGACTGTTGGTGTTGGAGACAATGTGACTTTGACGTGTACCCGCCAGACATCTGCTCTGGAGCAAGAAACCTTGTTTTGGTTCAGGTTAATTTCTGGAGATTTGCCTGAATTCTTGGGAGGAACATTTTCCTTTGATTATGATGGTGTTAACAAGACTCCTCGCATTACAGCAAAACAAGAGCCTGGAACATTTCTCCTGCATATTAGTCAAACAAAGCTAAGTGATACTGGAGTTTACTACTGTGTCAAAGTAAAAGACCTTGACATGATATTTCTGAATGGAACATTTCTGAGAGTTAAAGGTAAATAAAATACAGCAAGTACACATTTTACATTCTTGCAAAATGTAATCACCATGCTCACATCAAACACCATTTATAACAGTAGTTCACAGTTTGATTGACCTACATATATATATAAAGAAAGTGCTTACTGTTACTCACTGGAATGTTTCCATAATTTACAGGAAAGTGTTTATGTATATAAATTCACATTTTCAATTCCTTTTATTTTTATTATAGTGAGTAAAGTGTGTTTATTTTTGTCTTTGTTTTTCCAGAACCTGATATTACTGCTGTAGTTCAAGTCCCTCTATCTGATTCAGTCCGTCCAGGAGACCCAGTGACTCTGCAGTGTTCAGTCCTCTCTGACTCTGAGAAGAAAACATGTCCAGGAGATCACAGTGTGTTCTGGTTCAGAGCTGGATCAGGAGAATCTCATCCCAGTTTAATTTACACTCATGGAAACAGTGGTGATGAATGTGAGAAGAGTCCTGAGGCTCACTCTCCACAGAAATGTGTCTACAACTTCTCTAAGAACATCAGCTCCTCTGATGCTGGGACTTATTACTGTGCTGTGGCCTCATGTGGAGAGATATTATTTGGAAATGGAACAAAACTGGATACTGAAGGTAAGTGTGTCATTTTAGTGTTAATACAAAATTTCAAAACATTGATAGAAAGTGTCAAATAAAATGAATAAAGATCAACTACAATCTTTAGTTTACATTTAAGAGTAAGTTAGGTGACACACTCAAACTTAAGCACAATTTAATTTTACTCATTGTTAATTTTCATTGTTTTTTTTCCCTTTTGTTAATGTTTCAGAAACCAGAACGCGGTCACAGACGGACAATGCAGTTGTTTTTCTGCTGTGTGCTGTCTTGGTTATAAGTCTGATTGTTTTAGCCTTCCTCATTTACGCCATTAAGTGTGACAACGGTAATAGAAGTCACTCAGTTCTCTACACAACGCTATTAAATTAAAACTACTGCAGCCTTATTTGTTGTTTCCTATATATTTTCTGTTTCATAATCCAGCTGCAGTTCCTCTGCAGAAAATCAGTGGTGGTCAGAAAAGTCAACAGGTAAAGAATTTAAATAGATAAAATGTATTTTAACATTTATGAAGGTTTATTTAACTTTGTCATCTCATATATTCTCAGAGAAATGAGGACATGCAGGTTTATTCTGCTGTCGTCTTCACCATGATGAAAACTGCAATAAAGGATGCAAAAGCAGCGGAGAGAGAGAGGATCTACACTGCTGTCAAGGCTTTTGGTGGGATTAGTGAGTGAACAGGCCTGTTTGTCATCGGTCTGTTAGAGCTAAAGGTTTGTTATACAGTGTGTGGCTATTACTTAATGCTGTACATATTATATGTCACTTTGAATTCAGGTCTATCCATACATTTGAAGCAAGTAGGGCTGAAATAGATATTTTAAAATGTGTTGTTTAAAGTTTCCATCCATTCAAATGTTTGATATAACCTGCTGCATTGAGGCTGTACCTGCTGTATTTTCTTCTTTCCTTCCATAATGGCTATTTTAGCAACAGTATAATTCAGTCAACGCATGTGTTATTTAGCTGTTCTTGACGGTAATCCTTATAAAATTATTTAGGGAGATCCAACAAAATACCCTTTCATTTTGAATTTGTTTTGTAGTCCAAAGAAACACCTTGTTCCATTCATGCAGTTGTACAGTTATAGTTTTTCCCCTTTTCCACATAAACTGCTGTGATAGTGTTATGGAAATGTTCTTGTTCACTGATAAGCTTCTGAAATAAAGATATCAAAACCAATATGTCTTTATGTGATTTTATTTCTTTTAAGAGAGGTTAGTCGATCGAAAAAAGCATCAGGCAGGTGCTGGATGGGAAAGACAAAGAAGCACAGAGTTGCAACTACTTTATATCAACTTTAGGGTGGGGAAGATGCAAGGACAGGCTTTCTCACAACTCATACAAAGTGTCTCTATCTCTTATCAGTTAGTTCCTGTGGGCCTCCAATTAGCTCTGCTCTAGGGGAGTACCACCAGGTGCAGGATAGATAAATCGGAAGCTTTTATTTTCTACACATGTATTGTACATTTCCTGGACTCACTGCTAGAGTACATATCAACCTAAAGAACTATAGAAGAAGACAGTTGTAACTCATAGGTTACCTGATAGTAGGAAACAGTGTAACTCACTGGGTTATATGTTGAAACATGTTGCATAAGCATATAAGGATGAAAAGAATAGATTGTGAAAGGCACATGTCATACAAGGCACTCGTTATGAGGCAATCTAATAATTTTCCATTACAATAGATTCATAGTCCTGTGTTTACAGTACATCATGCAAATGTGAATGCTTATAATTTACATTGCATCCCTGGTTCACATCTGGCAGTACCCTTTAATTCATGCCGCTGAAGGTGGACTTACATGTTGATGGTTAGTAAAATGTGGTTTAAATATAAGACCTAGAATTTAGTCAGGGTGCACCTATTCGATGCATTCGACATTGATATATTAAGGGGACCAGATATCAGAAAGGGAGAGAGAGAAAATAATGCAGTATCAGCCTTTATCTTGTATTGGAAGCAGAATCAGAGCAGGTGAAGTCCGATCAGAGGATATTTGAAAGTAATTTTATTTACACATTATGCATGAATCTGTAATGGCAGTAAATCTGCTGTGACTATTTATTAACAAAGCAACTCAAAAGCTAGACATCTCCCATTAACTCATCTGAGGATGAACTTGGCTGTGCTCTGCCTATGTAGTGGGGTGTTGCTGAGTAGACACACTCTGTTGTGTAGTCCCCCTTCTTTTGTTTTTTCACCTTTCTTGTGGTGAAATCCAGTACTGCAGAGTTCACTGCCCATGCTTTGCCATCCTGCAAAAAAATTAGTTTTTAGTGACAAATATTTCATAATATGGGGCTGTAACATTAAGACCTGTAAAATCAAGATCAAGTCTAAAGTAAAGACTTAATAAATAAATAAATTAAACATAATATATTACTGTGTTTACTGTATTTTTCTTGTATGTTATGAGTGAAATACTCTCATTTGCGAAGAAAATAAAATAAAAAGGTTTTGAGCGGGCAGAATATTTGTCACACCCACATCTAGATCGCTACATATAGCCGGTGGAAATTGGACCACACACCGCTGCATATTTACAAGAAGCATATTTACCAGATCATTTGACTGATCCACTGTGGACTGGGCATGTCCAAGATGATGGGAAGCACTCATTGCTGCTGTTAAAATAAAAACAAAACCATCAGAACATGTGTACACATGAGGAATATGGTTATAATGCATTGGAGTTCATATAAACTGTTCTATAAGCCATCAAGTATCTAATCAGTGGAAAACATATTCTGTTATAACAGCAACAAGCTTAACAGAAGTGAAAAGGTAAAATTTGGTGAACCTACTTTTGCAATGTTCACAAATGTTGCTTTCATTTATGTAGAAAATAAGAAGAGCAATTACAGCCACACAGCAGGCCAACAGTACTCCAAGAGAAAGGACAACTGGTTCCAGTTCTGATCCTGAATCACAAACAGACATTGAGCGTTATTTAGTGTTATCTTGACAATAATAATTTCTTATTGAAAACACTTGCGTTTATTAAAAACAAGAGGCACAATTGGTAATTTGATGTTCGTTATACCATTTAGTAGGGGTGTGAGAGTATCCCGGTATTGACGATAACTATGATATGTAACGATTCAATAATTATATCATGTTAATAATACACATATATAGATAAAGATATATACATGCATAGTAAATACTTAAGGTCTCAAATGTCTAAAAAACAACATGGTCTGAATGCAACAACAACAGCTAGACCCAACAGCTGTACTCAGCGTCTCAGACGTCCTGCTCTCACAGTGAGGCTACAGGTCTTATCTGAATACAAGTTCCTTGGAGTTTCCTTCTGCGTTTTGACAGCGTTTCTGATGCTGTGAGTCTCCTCAACCTAGATGCTCTGGGAAGCCTTTGATTTGTGTGCACACAATTGAATATCTGTTAGTTTAGCCAAGGGTTGCTGCGAACTACTCTTGCTGTAATTTAGCAGTAACCCTCACTGACTTAACTTAGTCAAAGTCAAAACAAAGATACATGGATTACCAGCTTCACTGCTCGATTTGTGTGGAGAAAAGGAAACAAATAGCGTCTTCAGTTTGGCTGACTTTTCAACCAGATGTTGTTACGTCCTTGCACAGCATGTCTTGTGGATACCATTGGTTAATTCTTGTCACATGACCCGTGATGCATATACTGCGTTCTGAAAGGATTTTTCCATCTCGATGCGACATAGACCAAAAAATGCAGCTGCATTGCAACAAATTTGCGCTTGCAAAAGAGGCTACATCTGAACAAGCCCTGGACACATACAACATATTTAAAGCCTGTTTAAAGAAATGGTTAATTAGTACTCTCCACTGCACGTTATTCTCCTCAGTCTGTTATCTGCTGAACTTCCCTTGTGGTCTGCTGTCACTAGCTCGTAGACCTGCATACATGTCTTTTATCGTGGTTTTGTTGTTATTGTGTCAGATTGATGTATACTGTGCATGATTTTTAGGTCTGTGTTTCTGTGCATGTTTCAGGTATTGTCTAACAATGCAGCAATGTTGTCTCATTTATTCCATATTCCTACTAACCTTTGTATGTGCTTTTACATTATGCATGTTTTAGTACTTGAAAATTGTTGTCCAGAATTGTCTTTTATTTTGATTAATGTTCCCCATACTTGTAATTTCAATCGTATATTCTCTTTTAGAGTGATTGTTTGCATTTGTCCAGGGACTACAAATTAAAAACAACCTCTTGGCTACTGGCTTCACACTATTTTTGGATATATTGGTGGCTAGTCCGTGAAGATATATGGGCATCCAACATGTCAAACTGTGTATTTATTTGCCTTCTATTCTTGGCTACCTACACCAATAAAGACCACCTTTTATGCTCTATTTGACTGAGGTTTGAGCAAATTATTGGTAAAATCCATGATGGCGTCCTCCATAAATAGCCTATCAGCAGTTGTGATGCTTAAATATTAGCAGGCCGCTGTTTAATTATAAATGTATGGCACTGTCCATGGAGCTCATGATAACATTTGCAGAACTATAGGAGAGTAGGTTAGGCTGGTAGTTTGGTTAGAGGGCCAAGCTTTAAGAATCGTGGTTAACTATATAACGTAATGGTTGAAAGGTCTGCCTTTGCTCTTTATTTACTACCTAATACTACCAACCTTTGGTGTGAATATAATAAAATATGCTTATGGTGGAGGGAGGGTCATGCATTTTCCCCCAATCAATCAGGGAAGCTCATAGAAAAATACTTGTACCGTAGCTCCGTGGTGGGAAAGATTTCTTTTATAATAAAACAAGGTGACAACTCAGCCAACCCCTCCCCTCTGATAAATAACAAATGGTCCCTAAGCTAGCCTAATCTCCATTAGTTTGTGTTGTTTTGCTGTTGTTGTTGTTGTTGTTGTTGTTTGTGACACTTAAACGGAATAAAAGTATTTTTTTATGTATTATTCTGGTTCTCCTTAGGATATCTAAGATATCTTAAATTAGTCTGAATTGAGATGTCTAAATCAACACTAAAAGGACATAAAGAGGACTTTGAAGTGCGAGTCGGCCGGTGGTCACAGCTAATGGAGCTAACACCCCATTAGCAGCTGCTGTCAGATTCCCCATGTCCCTGCTGGAGACACAGAGAGTCTGCAGGAGCTTTGATAGTCACTAGAAGCACATTCACGACTGATATAAAGTTTCTGGGCCCTATCTTGCCGATCTGAAACGCAAGTATCAAACGCAAAACGCAAGTAGCTTTGTGGGCGAATCTCGGCGCTTTTGCTATTATGCCAGCGGGATAAATGACTCTTGCGCCCGGTGCAAAACCAAAAGTGGGTTGGTCTGAAGTAGCTACATTAGTCATAGGTGTGGTTTGGGTGTAACATGCAATAAACCAATCAGAGCGTCATCTCACATTCCTTTTAAAAGCAGGCGCGCTTGTTTCATGGTGGATTGCTATTATGACGGCAGATTTGCCAGGCGCACACCAAGAGCGGTTCACAGCCGAGGAGACCGACGTTCTCGTCAGGGCTGTAAAAGACCGAGAAGGGACATTATTGACATGAAATAAATGTAACACAGCCATAAAATAAATCAAAACAATGTAACGCAGCTCCGCAGGAAGAAGACCCTGGCCTCGGGAGCAGTGCGCACGGGCCAGCTGAGGAGGGAGCAGCGCAAACACCAAGGTGCAGAGGATCCAGACCCACTACACGCCGGAGGACCACCCGTTCCTGCAGCAAACCGGGTTTGACATGCTGGAGCGGGAGCTGTCTGGGATGTGGCAAAGTATTAATGCCCGTCTTGACCGGGTGGCGATGTTGCTGCTGCCTCTCAGGCGCATCCCCTCAAGTCTGCGCCCTTAAAATAGCATCTGAATAAGTGCCACTGACTTTAGACTAGGTTTTTCCTGGCTGTGGCGGAATTGTTTTCTGAAACAGCAAAGTAGCACCCGGGAACGCCGGAACACGCCTCCCCTTTCGCTGAACCGCACATAGGTTGTTGTTGTTAAAGATCTGCACACCCAGAGTGTAATATAACCGACAGCATGCTCTTATTGTGAAGGGAGTTAACAGTCAGGAGAGGCAGCAGGGTTCTTCCTCCCCAGGTTGCTGACCCCTTCTGATTGGAGACCGGAGCAGAGGACGGACATCGAGATGGGCCAATCAGGGGGGAGCTAAGTCTAAACCACGGCTCCTCCCCATCGACACTTCTAGACCAATAAGATAGCAGCACATTCTCATACAAAACTCTGTATACCTGTAAAATAGGCACTTCTTTTTGGGACGTTGGCTGCAGCAACTCACTCACTCTCAGAGTCAGTGAACTGTGGTTTTCAGAACAAAGAGAGTCCATGTACATGTTCTTTCAATTCTTCAATGCTCAAAAACTAAAACAGACTTCCGACTTCGAGTTCTCCTTACTCGCAAATCAACGAACGCGCTAACATCCACCACAAGTCCCCACAACTGTAGACAGAAGCATGGCTAACAAAAGAACATACAGAATAAAAATGTGAGGGGACCACTACTCTTACTTCTGGTCTCACAGCACATTTTAAAGGCATTTGGCATGTCTGTATTGAGGAAGCAAAGCCACATGAAACTACACTGTCAGATATATGCTGCGGTGAGCCATTTCTCTGCCCTTTGACCAACAGTCGAGGCTGTTTACTCAGAACAAACCTGACTACAACAGGATGTGTATAGAGGGAAGGGCTACAACAGGTTTCAGCAGGCTAACTTTAGTTGAACAATTGTATATGTTTTATTTTGCTTCACTTGCCTGTTAATATATTAATTCCAACTGTTCTTATGTTTTTAAACATGCAAGAAAAAACATCTGCAACCATGTGCATCTGCGATTGTAAAATATCACAGATGCATATTAGTTAAATCAGGAGATACTTCATTAAGAGTGAGCATTATTTATTGACATTTGTACCAAAAAGATGAGGTAGTCTTTGGCAATTACACTCCATTGTATTGTCATTGTATTTTAAGGGAGGGTTGCTTAAATGCCAACTGACAGCAGCAGAGATGAAAGCATATTAAAAGTTTATTAAACCTATTTTAATTCAATTTCAATTCAATTTTATTTGTATAGCACCAATTCATAACAGAAGTTATACACTTTTCAAAAAGAGAAGGTCTAGACCGAACTCCTTATAACATTATTTACAGATACCCAACAGTACCACCATGAGAAAACTGCCTTTTAAGAGGCAGAAACCTAGGACAGACCCTTCGGCTCTAGGTGGGTGGTTGTCTGCCTCAACCAGTTGGGGCGAGAGAGAGAGAGAGAGAGAGCCAGAGAGAGGTGCACAGCAACAACAGTAGCATTTGCAGGAAAAATCAGTGGGACTGGTGAATGACTGTGTTATTTAAAAAAAAAAAGGATAAAAACAGCACTCAAGCCCAGCTTCCTGAGGCTACAATAGAGAGTGAGAAATTAACAACATAAAAAAAATAAAAGAATACAGTTAGAAATTAACAAAATAGATAATGAAATAGATATTTTATTTTCTGAACTATTTGTATTCTCATTGCTTTTTCTGGATTTTATTTTTAAATGTTGTTATTATAATAATTGTGCTTTTGGCAACACATGTCAAATGTCATGCCAATAAAGGGTATTGAAATGAAAGATAGACATGCCCGTTTGTATTCACACCTAGTTTGATACCCAACCACAACCCACAATGCTAAAGTTTCCATGCATCATGTTTATTTGTGTTTGTGTGTGTGAAAGTACAAAGCAGGACATAAAGTAAAGTACAGGTTTCTGTTTTAATTAGATTACATTTTACAGTTGTAAAGTGGGTCACCACCCTTAAAACTTTGGATTGGTTTCTGCAATGGAGTTTTTTTTTTAAAACTCTCTCAGTCTTGTAAGTCTACTCTACTGCCTTTCATCAGCCCCTGAAAAGAAGTGAAACAAGTACAGAAGATGGATGGTTTAACAGCCCTCCTCATCTCTGTTTGCTGTGCTCTTCCTGCTGACGTGGGTGACAGGCAGAGTGGGCGGGTCATCATCAACGATATGAAGCATCTACACTGGCTGGCTTGCACCAAATGTAAGATAGCTTTTTAAATACACACAAATCAAATAGATCAATTATATGCATGTTTAACTGAGTAGTAACAAAAATGTTGTAGATGTACATTTATAGTTAAAAGGTCAATGGAATCAATACTCCCTCTAAAATAACAACTCATTTAAACAAAAATGGTTGTAAAACCTTGTTCTTTTTGGTCATCTGATTTCCATCGAAGGATGGCAGTGATGTAATGAGAGAGCAGATAATAGTGTTTAATATAATAATAATAATAATAGTATTTTCATCAAGACTAATCTGACCCCTATCATTGTCCAAAAACTCCAAAAACTATAGGATAACCAGAAAAACAATTTTATGTTTAGTGCTAATTTAACAGTAACAGTGGTTTTATTTATAAATATAAATTATTAAATGCAAATGCTTGGACATAGAAATACATAAAGGAGTTGTTAATCCAGTCTCTCTAGGAATTACATGGGTTTTTCTGCAGTGCATCCAATGCTAATGTTTAGGGCCAATGTAGGACCTCCTATATTGAATCATTCAGGTAGCATTGTGAACAGCTTGACTTTAAAGGCCCTGCACTCCCACACAGGTCTTTTCAGTTACACATCTGAATAAACCTCTAGTCAGGTGGAAGTAGGGTGAAGCTACGGTGGGAACAGCATGATGTTGTTGAACCCGATGTGCTATTAAGCTTGATAAAGGTGTGTGCTAACGTGAGACAACACCAAGACCAGGGTGAGGATATGTCAGTCAAGTGCAGTTTGTAAATGCTCACACACTTCTGAGAAGAGTACTAATTTAACATGAGTGAAAACACTTGTGTGGCTGGACTTAAATCTGCACTGGCTTAATCAAAGTTAAGTAGTTGTCACAATTCTAATATTTTGCTAACCTCAACCAAGTAGTTTTAGTTGCTTATACCATGGTCTGGGTGAATACTCGATTCTGATTGGCTGCTGGGTGTCCATTAATATCTGATGTAGGACACCTACAAAGTAGTTTCAGTGAAAATGTCTGTTTCTGTTCTAAATGAACGCGCCAAAATGAACTGAATGAAAACAAGCTAGTTAAATAGCTCATAAATATATATCTCACTACACTGACTGTGGTCCTTCAGTGGCTCATCTTCTGAACACCACAATGGCAACTGGAACACATAAGCCCCCCCAGTGTCCTTCTGAACTCACTGATACTTTCTATAAAAAGTATATACCTCCTACATCCTGTCCGCTATTCAGCTCACTACTTCAGGCTGCAGCCGACAGTACACATGCGTTATTGTGGGTGAAAATCTAGCCTAAGCACTCTGAGTGGAGGGAACTATATAACACATATGGTTCATCCTGTTAACTGGAATAGTGAACAATGTTTCCATTGCATTAGAACCTTAAAGGATTGTAATGATTCTTCCAGGTATTACTCAAACCCTCAGGTGTTTCCAGGGAAACATAATTATGGCTTGATTTTGTTTGCAATACGCATGAAAATATAAAGATCTTTGTTTTTCTTTGGCAAGTGACCATGGTATAAGTGGGATGACAATGGACACCTCGTGGCACAATCCCTTACCTAACCTACCCCAGTCGGCTGTAAAAATACTAAAACTTCTATTAACCAGGCTACAATCCCAATAATTATGGTAATAAAGTAAAGGCATAGAACGGTGTACTAGAGCATTAAACATTTAGGGTGATTGTGTGTTTTACAGTTTCATATTGTGAGTCAGCTGAAATCACACTAAAATAAAACGTTGTGTTTCTTTGTGTCAATAATAGAAACCCAACAAAACATGTAACAAAAGCTTGTTGTTGGAACTTTTTTGAAATAATTTCCACTGTGAAAAAGAAAGTGAGGGAAATGCCATCATAACAAGAGGCCAATCAGATTGCTCTGAAATTGTTCCCTCCCACTTCATATGCTTACATTAATACAAATCATCCTCTTAATATGATCTAATATACCTGCTCTCTCAAGTGCAATTACCAGAAGATGTTGATCATATTCCTTTTACTGCTGATGCTCAGAGTGGGGCGTAAGTTTATGTAGAAATGTCAGATTTACTCCAGATACATATTTAAATTAGTGTTATATTATTACAGTAATTTATAAATTATTATTTCTCTGATGTTAAACACTGAACTGTGTTCCTTTTTTTTTTTCAGGATGCACAGACAGTCTGATCTTTGAGACGAAGACTGTTGGTGTTGGAGACAATGTGACTTTGACGTGTACCCGCCAGACATCTGAGCTCAGCACAAGCTTGTTTTGGATCAGGTTAATTTCTGGAGATTTGCCTGAATTCTTGGGAGGAACATTTTCCTTTGATTATGATGGTGTTAACAAGACTCCTCGCATTACAGCAAAACAAGAGCCTGGAACATTTCTCCTGCATATTAGTCAAACAAAGCTAAGTGATACTGGAGTTTACTACTGTGTCAAAGTAAAACAACTTGACATGACATTTCTGAATGGAACATTTCTGAGAATTAAAGGTAATAGCAGCTTACTTGTTTTCATAATTTATAGAAAAGTTTATAACATTTTAACAGTTTAACATTTATAACTCCTTTTATTTTCATTATAGTGAGTAAAGTGTGTTTATTTTTGTCTTTGTTTTTCCCCAGGACCAGAACCTGATGTTACTGCCGTCGTTCAAGTCCCTCCATCTGATTCAGTCCGTCCAGGAGACCCAGTGACTCTGCAGTGTTCAGTCCTCTCTGACTCTGAGAAGAAAACATGTCCAGGAGATCACAGTGTGTTCTGGTTCAGAGCTGGATCAGATGAATCTCATCCCAGTTTAATTTACACTCATGGAAACAGTGGTGATGAATGTGAGAAGAGTCCTGAGGCTCACTCTCCACAGAAATGTGTCTACAACTTCTCTAAGAACATCAGCTCCTCTGATGCTGGGACTTATTACTGTGCTGTGGCCTCATGTGGAGAGATATTATTTGGAAATGGAACAAATCTGGACACTGAAGGTAAGTGCTTAATATTTATATGTAATGGGGAAATTGTTATCATTGTGTCACGTAATGTAAATTATTTATTACTTTTCTGAACTTTAATTATTTGCTCATGTTTCAGTTTATTCACAGAAAGAAAATACAATTATCTATCTGGTGTGCGCTGCTCTGGCTATAAGTCTGATTGTTATAGCCTTCCTTGTTTATGCCATCGTGAAAAAATCCTGTGATTGTTGTAACGGTAAGAGACATGACTCTACATAGATCTGTTAATCTGTGTTTCCAAAAAGTTAAAAGTCATTTAAATCACATTTTGCTGTGTATAAGTCAACCTACAGTGTCATTCAGCTTCGGTAAAGTGATATCCAGTTAATCGTTTTGGTGTTGTTGTTGTTTTTAATAATACAGCTGCTGTCACTCTGCAAACAAATGCTGCAACAGCCAGTGATGGTCAGCAAATTCAGCAAGTAAGGAATTAAAAGATGTAGCTAAAAACACTTCCAGTTATTTTGACCTGTTTATAGAGACAGTAATTGTACATTTATTTCCTCAGACAAATGAGGACTCTTTGTTTTATTCTACACCAAACTTTAACAGGAGGAAAGCTGGCAAAGCAGGCAAACGAAACGCAACAGCAAAGGAAGAGACGATCTACACTGACGTCAGGGCTTTTGTGATATGATCTATGATATAAATAATGGATTTAGTAATGGATGCTTATGTATGTTTTGTTGCATAGTACGTGGAAAAGTACACTGCGGCAGCAGAGGTAGCACCTCAGAAGTTAAATAAACTGAAAGATGTTTTGTTCGTAACTTTGACATTATATTTCTATATGTTTTCAAAGTGTTTGCAAACAATTAATAATATTTCTGAGAAAATTAAACCACATTTAAGTTACGCTTTTGGTGAGATCCTGTAGCATTGCGTATCCCATATCTATTAAAGTTAGTTTCATTCATCTTTAAAGACCCGTGAAGGATTTTAACTGTTTTAAGACTGTTAACTGCCTCTGAAGACCTATGTATCCTAACATATGTATCAATGCAATGCAAAAGAATTTGTGAACAACAACTTGATTAATTTCATGTGTGTACGTCTTGCTTCCTTTGTTAATACAAACACTTCCACATCTATAATGAACACTTCTTAATTAATTTACCGAAAATGAATTGGGTATGTTTTTGTTTTTATTTTGAAAAGACTTTTAGTTGCAGTCATTGCAGGAAACAGAGTAAAAAAAGTGTGACCAATACATTGAATATCATGGTACGTAAATGTTTGGGTTAGGGAACATCAACCTGGGGGGGAATGCTAATGAATCAGGTTTTTTAATTCTGAAACCTTGTTAAATTTTAGTGGTTGTGAATATGCAATTTAACTGTGTCTCCCTCTTTTTTCACCCCTAAAAGTAAATGGTGAATTGATGGTGAGTGAAATCCATTGAAGCAAAAAACACTGTATTGAAAATGTTACGAGTTTCAAATTATGTAACTGGAGTAACAAATGATTTTTATCGGGGTTCACTGCGCTCAGCTCTCCTAGATGAAACCCTGGAAAACAGAATCACGGAGTGAGTGAGTGAAAGAGCGAACCGCCATCTTCGTCTCCAAATCTCTGTCTCTTTATTACAAATTTCCAAAATCACGGTATAAAACAATAAACATTCCCCTAGTGTAAACATGTTTCAGTTTCAGTGTTCATTTGTTAATTTAAATTTAAACACATTAATACAGTTGTCTCTACTCTCCACACATCAGTTGGCAACATCTTTCACACACACATTCACAGAAATCATCCTGTCTTTACAAAAATAAATATCACTCTTTCTTTAAAGTGCAATAATATCAAATGGATAAATCAGGTTTTAATCTATATTTATATAGTTGTTTTTAACTCCAGAAACCCGCCATCATACTAATGTAACAATGTGACTCATAAACCCTCTTTGGCTGTAAATTAATATTTAAATGACTTTAGAGTCAAAACATGAAACACCATACACATAGGGATAACTGTTCAACTTATGATACATTTTCAAACACAGACCAGACACCTAACTGCTTCTGTATAACTTTAGGAAGAACTCCCTTTAAGTTTTAAACAACATACCTCTCTTCTCTTAACATTAACAATCATTTATAACATGTCAGGATATCTTAAAGAAAACTGAATAAAACATTACCAGGGAGTGAGGACACCAGCACCCACAATCACACATACAGTCACAGTACACAGCTGCTAATTGTTAGCTCACTAGCTCCATTGTTTACAAAGCCTGTTTCCCGCGGTTATACACGCGGCTCTTTAGCTCGGCTTCACACATCAAAAATTCCACAACAGACTCATCAAAGCTCCAATACACCACCGTACATTTCAGGAGGAAACAGTTTGTTATTTTTACAGAGTACCAACCTGGAAAACAGAATCACGGAGTGAGTGAGTGAAAGAGCGAACCGCCATCTTCGTCTCCAAATCTCTGTCTGAGAGAAGAGGGGGGTACCTCTCACCTGGGCACTGTGGTGCAACGATACCCGCACTTTGGTTCCGCTTTCTTTTCTTTCCCCCTACATTATTTTGTCTTTCACAATAAAAGTTGAAATTATATTTAATGCTACACTGGTTATTGTATTATCACATAAGGGTGTATCACAAAAAGTCCAAATAAGTATGTATACATCGAGACAATCCGCTGAATCAGCACGGGCACCAGTATATTACTACCAGATATCAAAGAGACTTACAGATGTTAAATTAGACAAAAATAAAGTGATGATAAGTTAATAATGATTTGGATCAGTACCCAGTATCAGCAGTTACCCTGCGTTGGAACAGTGCATCATCATGTGTGACTCTTGTTTGGACAAGGAGACCATATCAGATAAATACTTTCTTTTATCCCAGGTGGAAAATTTCACACACAGCAGCAGTACACAGAGGACAGGATATGACAGTAAACCTGCTGTAATTAACTGTCTGAAGCATTTTGACATTTCTTTATTGTTTTTGTTGTGTGACCATGCAAAGTATTTTGAACATTATTTGGAATGTTTTTTAAAGGTCCAGTGAGTAACATTTAGGAGGATCCATTGGCAGAAATTGAATAGGATATTTAAAAAAAACACTGGCTGTAGACAGGACCTTTCACCTTTCACAAGTTTCACTGCCACCATAGTTTCTCCTTCACACTTCACAGCTTGTTCTCATTCCCAGATTGTCAAATACAGACGGCAGCGCTGTTCAATTAGTTGCAATATGCAACTTCAGCTAGATGCCACTAACTCCTACACACTGGTCCTTTAACTAAGTCAATAAATAAAACATGCTGTGTTTTCCTATGCTAAACTGTTGTTGGTGTTATTTTTGATATCTTTAATCTTTAATTGTACAAAAGTTTTGGTCATTCTGGAGATTTCCAACTTGCCAGAATGACAAAATTAAACATTTAAACTATTGCTGGGCAACCATTAACATTTTTAAACGTGATTAATCGCATGATTTTATGCGATAATTCACGATTCATCGCAGTTACGCAATATTCAATAATGAATTCAAAAGTAGTGTATTGAGCACTTTTATTATAAAAGTACTGCTATATGAACAAAAGTGCAATAACATTTGGTTTGCACTTATACACAACTTCGCTTTCAACGTCAGATCACGTGAGCTCTCACTCTCCATCAATGTAATGCACTGTAACTCCGAGGCCTCCTTCATGGTATGTGTGAGAATGTAGTTTTTGTGTTCTTTTTCTCCCTTTTGGTGTGTCTGCTGTGTACTTGGTGTGTTTTGCTCTCTCCCACATGCTGTGGAAGCCACTGGTGGGCGTGGTCGATGGAGCTCCTGCCTACACACCTGTGGCTCATCACACCTGTTCCTCATCCAAATATCAACTCACCTTTATAAGCTAGGCCGACCTTCCAGTCCCCGCCGGATTGTTGAATATGTATGAGAACACGCCAGCCAACCTGAATTTGCACTCTTGTGAAGTACCTGTTGCTAACTCGCTTTTTTTCCCTGTCTCACCTTAGACCATCTCGCCCTGAGCCTGGACCCTGTTCTGCCTACCAGCACTGCAAGACCTAGAGCACTGAAGCCCGGACCCCATTCCCACTCTCTGACTCATCAGAATCTCCAGCCACTCAATCCACATTCTGTTTATGCTACTTGAATAAATTCACCTTTATTGAAACTTCCACTCTGGTCTGCGTCTGAGTTCTGGTCTGGTCCTGACAGCAATGTCCAGATCTCCAGTGAGAGCAACAGTTGGTGAACATTGTAATGCCGTCGCTTTTGTAGTCCTCTCCTTTTCATACAACTCATGCATTCTTATTCTTGTGCTCATACGTGCCGTCATTCGTTGCGATCCTATCTCCCACAATACTAATCGGCCTGCAGTTTGAAGCTATCTACTTTTGCTATGGCATTTGTTAGCTTGTCTTGCTTTTGTTTATCTATACTTCTCCCACATGCTGAATCCATGGGTCACTCCCCTCCTGTGACCCATGGTTTGTCTGTATATGTATTCAGACCAGTGAGCAACAGACTTTTGAAGTAATAATAGTAAAAAAAAAAACTGCATTAATGCAATATAGAATATTTGTCTGTGTTAATTAATGCATTAATGTGACAATAACACTTTAACTTGCCCCGCCCTAATTTTAAAATAATGTTATATCTTGATAACTTCACAGGGATTTCACAGGCGTACTGTGTAGTTCTATTGTAGCATTTTGTGTCTATTTAAAATGAACATCTCTGCAAACTAAATTCTTTTTAACATCGATTTAACCATGTAATACTTTAAAGGCTTCTTTTTTGACAAATTGGGTGTTTTCTTCTCATTGTTCTATTCGCTCTTTGTGTTTTTTTACTTTTTGAATGCAGGACGAGGCTGTTTAGCAGAGAGTGAATGCTCTGTGAATATAGTCTGTGTTCAGGTCTTCAAAGTAGATCATCTTTAATAAATATCTAAACTTAACTCGTTTGTTTCTTTGTCTTTTTGCACCGCTTAAAATCAAGAAGGCCTCGCAACCCCCCAGGAAGCTTTGGTGACCCCTAGTGGGTGTCCCGACCCCCAGGTTGGGAAACACTACCACACAGAATATTACACAATCACAATTTCAGAGTCAAAAGGTTGAGTGAACATGGACTAAGTTGAGAACTGATCAGTGAACAGATGAGAGTGGGAGGTAATACACTTCACATAGAGCAGGACCTAAACTGTGTGACAGGAAATGCACTTTGATTAAAGTGGACATTGAAGGTAACTGTATCATGATTCTGTTAATTAGTAAAGTAAGTGTAAGATTATACAGTATGTCAATTTTTATTTCACATTTAAGATCCTTTAACAAGGATGTGACATTGAAAACAATTTACTTTTACTCTTTGTTAATTTTCATTGTTTGTATTTCTTTTGTTAATGTTTCAGGAACCAGTATGTGGTCACAGACCGACAATGCAGTTGTTTTTCTTCTGTGTGCTGTCTTGGTTATAAGTCTGATTGTTTTAGCCTTCCTCTTTTACGCCTTCAAGTGTGACAACGGTAATAGAAGTCACTCAGTTCTCTATACAAAGCTATTAAATTAAAACTACTGCAGCCTTATTTATTGTTTCCTATATATTTTCTGTTTCATAATCCAGCTGCTGTTCCTCTGCAGAAAATCAGTGGTGGTCAGAAAAGTCAACAGGTAAAGAATTTAAATAGATAAACTGTATTATAACATTTATGAAGGTTTATTTAACTTTGTCATCTCATATATTCTCAGAGAAAAGAGGACATGCAGGTTTATTCTGCTGTCGTCTTCACCATGATGAAAACTGGCCGAGGTGCAATAAAGGATGCAAAAGCAGCGGAGAGAGAGAGGATCTACACTGCTGTCAAGGCTTTTGGGTTGGATTAATGAGTGAACAGGCCTGTTTGTCTTCAGTTGATGTTGATGTTACAGAATGTGACTAATGCTGTATATATTATCATTCTGAATAAAGGTTTATCCATACATTTGAAACTAGTTAGACTGAAAAAGACTGAAATCAATTGAGTCTGTGGTTGAAAATTTCCACTGTATACACAAGCCTATCTTGTGCTGGATCGCCGGAGGCTCTCAATCCCAGCTCACACTGTGCAAGAAGGTGAGGCATCTCCTGGACAAAACTCCACTCTATGACAGGGATAACACATACTGACATCTACCCACACTCACATTGACACCTATGGCAAAATTTCTCCAATTCACCAAACCTCAATGTCTTTGGACTGTGTTACTTTCCTTGTCTTTGCGGCTGAGGAGTTAAGATGCTCATCAAGAACCAGTGACACCCCCACTTCAGCTGGGAGTATTATTGTTTGATGTATTTGAAATTCCCATCTAGCAACAGGCATCGCAAATTGTTTATGCTACACACTTGTCCCTGTATTTATAAACAATAAATAAACAAATGTCAGCTGGGTTATTCTTGATTGTGCAACCTGAGAAAATAAATGTTCTGTTAACATGGACATACTAAAATCAGTTTATTACTGTAAGTGGGAGAACATTTTATTTGTGTCCCAACTTTCTTTCATCACTGACATTGAAAGACTGACTTAATGTGGTCATAGTTAGTGAAATGTGTTGGAGAAAAAAACGACTGTAGTCAAAATAATAGTACACAAACTTTATAGGGAAACTGATATTTAACG